ATCCACGCATTCATCATATCTAGGCTCGACTACGCCAACTCCTTACTTGTCGGCCTTCCCAACTCTTCCTCCCACAAGCTGCAGATCATCCAGAACTCTGCAGCTTATGTTCTCTCCCTCACCAGGCTCTGTGACCCCATCACCCTCGCCCAGCTCGACTGACTCCCCATCCGCCAGAAGAAAGAGTTCAAAATCCTCATCCTCGCCTTCAAGGCCCCCACTGTACCTTTGTGACCTGCTGACCCCATATCAACTTATCCGCTCCCTCCACTCAGCAGGCTGTGGCCTGCTCCACGTCCCATGCCCTGCCCACTCCACCATCGGCGGCCAGGCTTTCTGCCCTATCCTTTGGAACTCCATCCCACATTCCCTTCGCCTCATTCCCTCCAGTGCCTCATTCAAGGCATGACTGAAAACCCTCCTTTTTGACCAAGACTTTGGCCACCCTCCCTGCGCTCCACCCTCCCTGCGCTCCACCCTCCCTGCGCTCCACCCTCCCTGCGCTCCACCCTCCCTGCGCTCCACCCTCCCTGCGCCCCACCCTCCCTGCGCCCCACCCTCCCTGCGCCCCACCCTCCCTGCGCCCCACCCTCCCTGAGCTCCACCCTCCTTGATCCTGACCCCCACCTTGAGTCCAAATCCCTGACTGTCCAGGGCCTTGGGAAGTCCTTCCGATGTGAAAAGCGCTATACAAATGTAATTTGTATTGTTTTGTATGAGTGCACATGCAGAATTATCCATTTTGGTAACTTATTACGTTATTTTCATCTGATGTGGGCACTAGCTTGCTGCATTCACTTTCTTATGGAAAGTGTTTTTCTTCTTTACCCCTCTTACTCCAAACACTAAGCAGATTTAGTAACCTTTAGTAAAGGTCGCCACATTTTTATACTAATTTCAACATCTGTTAATGACTAGCAAAAATGTTTAGCAGAAGGAGCCCCTTCGGTTGTCTTTGAGATCCCTATGAGCTAGTGAAGGAGAAAACTGACCAGAGTTGTGTCCTAGTCTCCACGTATTCATCTGTGGATTGTTGTCAGGTGACACTCACTGTTCAGTCTCACTATTAAAGACTCTTCTGGAGAGTAGATGTTGACTGTGAAGCTGTCGACTAGGGCGTTCTGTTTGCGGTCAGAAGGTGATAAAGATGACTTGAGATTTCCAATTCCTGTACAAGAGTAGTTTATACTCATGGTTTCTCCACAAAGAGAATTGTTGTCCTCTGCCTTCAGTTGTGCGTGATCAGGAACCAACTGGAGATTTGGGTACTTTAACACTATTGTAGCTACTGATTTTTATTTTTGAGGGTTTGGCAACAGATGTGGAAATATATTACATAAAGGAAATCTTTTCTGGAGGAAACAGAGGGGAAACTTTTTTATTTGAAGGTTAATGACTGCATACAGGTCATACAGGTCAAACTGAAGATCCCAGTTATTGTTGTATTTACCCTAAACTATGAAATGCAGAATATGGGTTGCAGACTTACTTGCATGACCAAGGCAGTGGGACAAAAGATCAAAGGTTCAGGAGTGTGCAGACCAAGTTTAAGTCATCAGCAAATATTTCTTTATAAAAGATGGTAATAGATGAGTTACAAGGAAGCTAGGACAGTTGACTCATTTAACAAACTGCTTTATACCATAAGGGGAAGAAGAAAGGATAGATCTTCTAGAAGGATGAGTAAATGGCTGAAGGCCCTTATTCCAAACCTCTTGTGAACTGTTCCTACACTGATAGCGGGCAACAACATGGATTCTTTCTCACTGATTGTCGGTGTAGTTGCAGCCGGTGCAGAATGGGTTAGGCTTCTTGTAGCTAAAGTTATTTAAGAATTATATGCAGAATTCTAGAGCGCTGGTGACAAAACATTAAAGGATTTCACCAGTAAACAACGAGGAAGGTTCAGGCCAATCTCACAAAGCATTGCATTTTCTGAGGTGACCACTTTCTTCAATTTGCTGCAACACAGTGAATACAAAAGGAGGAAACTTACTATTTTAAGCAGAATGAACTTTTGTGTTCTCAAATGGAGTTGCGTGTTATTGCCATGTTATGTCAGTTCGGTTGCATTGGAAGTGTAGGAGTAAAGTGTTCAGAACTACAATTGCGCTACTGTTCTGAAAGACTACAGAACTGCTACTTGGGCGATAAAGTGTACATCACTTTGACGTTTTGTGCAGTGAATTTTGAGATATTGATCTGGAGTTTACACCAAAAGTTTGGATGGACAATTTCAGGTGAATGTGCTTACCTCAATCTTTTGGAAATAAAGCTGGATTCAACTCCAGCAAAATCTACAAAGAGAAGAAATAACTAATACTAAAGGGCCTAGATTTCTTTACGTTATGTTTTCAGGATTTTAGGTTCCAGAATAAGACCTTGATCAGTGTACTTTGTTACATTATGAATTGTTGGGCTGTTTAAAAGAGATCATTGAATCTGTAATTGCTGATCATAGAGTCATGCTGCTGTAATCTGAAGGCAGATGCTTACGATGCTCACATTGATGTTTAAATTACATTTGTGTGACATACAAGAACAATACAAAGTATCTTGTTAGTACAAAGTGCATTGTGTCATTCTTTCAAAGGTTGGCTATCTCTCGTGTGCAGCAGTGTCAGAGGAAGAATTGTTGGCTGTAATCTCTTTTCTGGTATTGTAATTGTTCTCGACTGCTCACTGGAACTCCATCCCAGAGTCCCGCCACTTCACCCCTTCCCTCGCCTGTCTTTAGATCTTTCTTTTCAACCACACTCCCCTTCTCCCCTTGCTTTCTACCTTCTCCCCCCAGCTAGGGTTCACAGCAGATTCTGTGAAGCACTGAGACATCCTCCGGACATGAAAGAAACTACTATACATGAATGTAATTATTACAGTGTAGGTTAGGAACTACATTCATTCCCTCCAGCAATTACATACCACTCTTCTCAACAGTGCTTTGATTTCCATCTCCGAGCACCTTTCTTCTTTTTTCCATCTCCCCTCCTCCCAGCACCTGCACCACAATTGCCCATCATTCCATTTCCCATGGCAGCCCGTAGGGCCTGTGAGCAAGATTGGCAAGTTAAGGGGAAAAGTACTGTAGATTGCCTCTTGAACAAACTAGTAAAATTCACTACTCACGAGGCTTTCAGCTGGAAGAAAAAAACATCCCATCAGTCTGGGTCAGATTCAAATTCAAGTCCTAGAATGGAAACAGCTGTGCTGCTCATTTTAAAAGTAGTTGAACTGACTTGAGTTTTTGTTGGTTTTTTTATCCCCTTTAATGTTAGGATTGCCATGCTTATCCAATATCAATATTTCTCCAACCAGCTAGAATTTTTTTTATTCATTCCCCCTTTTTCTGATGCTTTTATTTTTTTTAAAAGTTCGTCGAAATGTTAAGGTAATTCCATCTTACAGCAGCTGTACAACCTTAAACCTTTCAACTAGGTCTGGACATAATCCTCTACATTTGACCTGTTCTCTCATGCTGGAAAGCATCTCTGTGTCCAGTTTTGAGATTTTGACCACCCTGTGATAGATGTAGTACAAAGCCACAGTAACATTCATTTTAAGTTTGTGGGGTGGGAGGAGGAAATACTTCATTTATACTTTCAGGCATGTATTTAAACCTAAATCCCTAGGTGAACATAACATTTCCAAAACTCAACACTGGCAAGTTACATGGTATTTTTTCAGCTGAGGCCACCATTTGGTGTTTGTGGCCCAAAGGGTTGGGTTGGAGTCTACCCCTACTAGGTTGTATTGGAGGGCTAGTCAACTATGGATCAGGATTACTGCACCCAAATGTAGCCAGACATGTCTCTTTAAATAAAAAAAAATTAAAAATTCAACAAAAGAGACTTTCCTTATTATCGTTCTTGATTTCTACGTACGTTTATTTTCAGAAATTATATTCATTTCACTTTATTTTTTCTGAAGTGTTGAGTGGACTCTCTGGATTTCAAACCTTGAAAGAATTGCCTTGTCTCAAGTCTCGTGCAACCCAACTGATCGTAATGGGTTGTGGATGAGCATTCCTGAACAATTCAATTTAATAGTGTAGATGTGTATAGGTTCAGCATAGTTGAGTTCCTGAATAGACCCCTAATCTGACAGCTTTGTTGAGACCATGGGTGCCCTGTGGTAATGTGGCCATTTTGCACTTTTTTCTAAAAAAAAAACAATGATCTGGCCAACTTCCAAATTGTCTGTTCCAGCACGCAGGAGGTTACAGCAACAACCTGAGCACCTGGAAATTATTTATTTTTAGTGCAGGGAGCCAGCTGCATCCTAAGGCGCCTGATGTGGCCTTCTCGACCTGTTTATAAAGCTGGTTGGGATTTTATGAACTCCCCAAACTGCTGCATTATAACTAAATTAGGCTCTACAGTAGTATTAATATTCATTGGAAAATTTGCTGCTGCAAGATGATGGCTCCAAAATAGTTCGCTAACTACAGCAACAACTTGTAGTTATATAGTGCCCCTCATGCAGGGTAATGTCCCAGAGCGCTTGGGTGGGTGGGGGAGGGGTAGAGAAAAGAGAAAGAATAGAAAAGATGATTAATGTAACTTCTATCACTCTCCTTCGCCTGGTGATCTGATATGCTGACTCTGGTAGAGGAAGTTTGCATCTAGTCTTAAAGAGCTACTAATAATTGATGAGGTGGACCTATAAACCAAACATTGACTGACCTTCTTGATCAATAACCTGCTGCTTTGAAAACTCTGTGGCTTTGGCTGAGGACAGGTTTGGTTTTGACTGTTGTATCCTGTTTTCTCCCACTTGCCCTTTAAATCCAATAGCAGACTGATGCTCTGATGCTGTATATTAGACTCAGACATGATGATATCCTTCTCGCACTGGATTTTTTTCAGTACCGTAACTGGATATTGTAATTCATCACAAAATGTACCATTTCAAAATTATAACAAATCCTGTACAAAGAGCTCATTGTTGGGTATAAAACACTTCAAAATGCATTGTAATTAATAGTACATTTTGTTTTTCAGCAACAAGGAATTGGACGGCCTAGTGTTTATCATGCAGTGGTCGTCATCTTTCTGGAATTCTTTGCCTGGGGACTGTTAACCACTCCAATGCTGACAGTAAGTACAGGACAGCATATTTTAGAGTAAGTCTGCAATAGATTTGCTGCATCAAGACATCTGGTGCAACCACTGAAATAGCTGACTTGTTTGTTGTAAGGATCATCCTGTCAAAAAGGCCTGACCACTGTGGTATCTTTGAACTAAAACCCACCTGCTGCTTACTGAGGGGCATGCCTTTGTATCTCAACACTTTGTCTCTATATAAATCTGGCGATTCAAATGGCTGTTAGGGTAGATAATGGCAAGAAAGCCAATGGAGTTTTTTTTTGTCCATGTTCTCTAATAACGCTGTCTTCTGATACTTTTATAAATTTTTTAAAAAAGTCTTATGTTGCAAATTCAGAGTAATTACATCTTAAAGTAACTGGGTTACAGCAGCTGTAGAACCTTTATTCTACACGATTCTTTATTTGTGACCCTGAATGTTCTTTATTTTAAAAATGAAGTTTGAAAGGATTGAGAATAATGCAATAATAACAGCTGCATTGCCTCTCCTACTGACTACAGGCTTGGCAATTACACAAACAAAGCTCTGGGTTTTATTTCTTGATGCTGCTACAGTGCTCTGTTATGAGTTGCATCTTGTCTCAAGAACCCAGCAAGTTCAAACCAGGTGGTACTCCCTTCTAAAAGTATTTTGACATTTTTCTTTCTTACTTTCTAACCAATACACTTACTGTATTTGGAAGGTCAGGACATGTATGGATCATTCTACGTATACGTGTATGCTAATGTGTGATTGTGCCATGCATTGAGCAGCCAGTGAAGTGGTATATTCTTCTGTGCAGGTGCTTTGTTGTAGGTGTATCTTTCCTCATCCCAGATGAATTGCTATTGAAAATCATTCCTGAGGCTCATTTTCATGCAAAAATCAACAACAACAACATTTGAATGCTACCTGAGTCTTGTTCGTTTTTGATCTGATCATCTTTGTGTGGGGTCTGATGTGGTCCATAGCGGTTTCTCGTCCTACACCTTTTTTTGAGAATATGGTTAATGAGAACCACACAAGTGATAGTAATAGAAATGTGTGAACCCCAAAACATCACCTGCCTTTGTCCCATCTCGCCCGCAATGCAGGTGAAACCTTCATTTATTCCTTTCTTACCTTCATACTTCATTTTTGGAATGGTCTTGATATTAGCTTGTGTCTTAATCTTTACTTTTAGATTTTCCTAAATTATCTTTCTCCATATATTCTAGCTTATCTAGACCTCTGCAACCATATTCTCAAACCAGGCTTTGTGCGCCAATTGCACCTCCTCCCCAACCCCCCCCCCTTCCCCATTCCTTCCCTGGCTCCCATTTTTCCCAGAGGAATCAACTTCACACTTGTTCTGACTTCAGGCCTGCTCTCTCATCCATTTCTGCTGCACAAATTCTGACCCGCTGCACATCTCCCACCCCCTCTACTCAATACAAATTTACATTTATAAGGCGCCTTTCACATCAGAGGGACTTCCCAAAGTTTGACATCCCTATGCTAATAACATTATGAGCCATCATGTTTCCACTCCTGGAATCTTCCACAATCCCTCTACTTCACCCCCTCCCCAACCACCTTGAAAAAGCTACCTCTTTGATCATACCTTCGGTCAATTCCTTCTCCCTCCCTTCCTAATCCACATTGTCTCTCTAATGTGCTTTGAGTTCAACTACTGAGTGAAAGGTACTCTGTAAGTGCAAGTTATGTGTTGATTCCCCGTTCTTTTGGGGGACTTCCTGCTAGCAGGCTGACCTCTGAGGAGTTGGGATTGAAGCTCTGAATGTTTTGTGCACGGAGAATCTTTCTTGTTAGTTATTGTTAGTCTTTTTGTAAAAGGATGGGTTAGCTAGCTCCTGTCAGCAGCACATTAGTGAGATCCACCTCTTGTGTATATTCTTGGAATGCCTTCTTCAAGTTGATCAGGAAATCTTTTAATAAAATCTAACTGGAAATGTGCACCAGGTGAATAAAAATGATAGATAAATGAGCCCACCTGAAATAACCTCATGATAAATAAATTAACCTGAAATAACCTCTTTCAGGTGATTTTTTTTTCCTCCATCTGTTTTTTTGTGAGAATATTAATTAAAATCTTGCCTGGGGTATTTACCTTAGCTTCATAATTGTTATTTTTAAACTTGATCCTGATGAAACAACTACAATTTATCTTCCTTCATTCCACACATTCCAGAACCACAGTTAGCAACAGTACTAAATATTTCAGTCTTCACTATGAGCTTGTAGTTCATGACTTAAGAAAATAAATGGTTAGGAGAATATAGATGTTCAGGCACGTTGGAATGAATTCTTCAATTGGTAAGGTGGTTGCTCACAGCACTAGATTTTTGCTTCTTTCAAACCTTCTACCAGGTGACATTGTTCCATAATCTTTTTTATATCCGTCATCCCATTTTTGGTGTACAAAAAATACAATTAAGTCGCCAAACTAGGAAACCTTACCAACCAGAGCAGATTTCTGGGCTAAATCTCATGTATTTTGTTTACAGATTAGTTGAGGTTGAACGCAAGGCCTAAATTATTAAAAATCAGGACTATTTACAAGTGAAAAAAATAGTTCTTTTTAGCTATTTATAGTCCTTTACACATACTTTGTAATAACTTCTAAATTCAGAATTTGAGTTCTGCATAACTGAATTTGTGCAAGAAAACTATGCAATATGGAAGCTAAAGCTGTGTTTAACCTAAATATTAGAAAAATTCTGAGCTAGCGTTTGGTTAAACCCACTTATTATTGTTTTGATATTGTTTGCTCAACAGACAATTTGAGTGTATCACTTGCGTCAAACAACATTACATGGAGATGGATATCTTGAGGTCATTGTACAAATGTCATCAAGAGGCCCATGTGCAAACCAACATAGCGGAGACTCTATTTGCAAAATACATCCTTGCCAAATGGTGGCAGATTTACACAAAAAACTAATTTCTATTGTCATTTAATAAGAGCATCACCAAAATAACTTGGTCCTGCTATGCATTCCTCATCCCACCATTGGCAGCTGAGCATTTAGCTTCTCTGGCCCCACTTCCTCTCAAGAAAACCGGCCTCTTCAACCATGCCCATGATCACCACTTTTTCCCCCCTTTCTGTTTGGTGTTCATCACCATCTCTGTAAATGTTTCGGGACATTGCCCTATGTAAAGGACACTGTATGAATGCAAGCTGTAGTATTAATACCGAACTTTTGAGATTTGATTAAAAAGATGCAAAGTTGGACATTAATATCCCAATAGTTCAAGTAAAACAGGCTCAATCGTATAATTACTAGTTTGCCAGTGTTACAAGAAAATAAAACTCCAGATGCATTTATTTTTTTGCAATTGATTATGGTGCAAGCTGAGGCCAAATTTCTGTTATGTTGTGAATGGTGGGAAGGGATGAGTATGCAGATATGGGAGACTCCCTTCAGTGGCAGCGATTAACCCTGAACCAGCTTTCAAGGCAAGTTAAGGGACAAGGTACTTTCTCTTTCCTATTCCCATCCCAAAACAAAACTGCCTCTGTATTTAGCTAAAGGAATCCTTTAATCGCTTGGATCGTTAGCATTTTGAGAGTAACCATCTGTTTCCTGTACAAATACATGTCTGGCTTTGAGTGTGCAATTCACTCGCCCTTTAACTTCCCCTTTCGATGCTTCTTTCCAATACAACCACAATTTTTGAATGACAAATTGCTTTGTTATGTTACCTTGTCACTCTGTGTTTTCATCCTAATAGGGATTGAATAATGCCATTTAATAGTAGAAATTCCTCAAATGTTGAATAGGAATTACCTGGATGTGTTGAAGGTGGATATCTGACTGTATTCAATGTGGATATCTGAACCCTGGTTGTGTTTTTGACTTGTGGCGCACTGCTTTTGTTTGCCAGTTAGTGGGATTGCAGCTTTTTGTTAAACAAAACACTTAAGAGTAAGGAGCAATCTCACTAACCAGCAGCTAAATGTGGACCACAGCCTCACAATGATGTTTAGGATTGAGGGTTTTTTTTTATTTGGGGAACAGATAAATGGGATTTTGCCTCTGGATTTGGTCAATTCCCACTTGATACTCAGGTGCCCAGCTAGCATTGTTGACTTCTTTGAGACGTTCTCCTGCTGTAAAGGCACTATGTAAATAGCATTGAACCCTGGTAAAACTTGACCGAGCACAAGGCCTGCCCATCATTTGCAAAGTAAATTTCATGAAGCCTCTATTCTCATTGTTTGACTTTGAAACATCCTGCTTATGTGTGTGGGGAGAAATCGCTTCAAAGAATGTGTACTTGTCCTCTGTTACCCATAGCTGATCTTCAGGTGACTGGGGATGCCCAGCTGCAGTAAAAAAAATCAAATTTCATCTGTTGTGGTTTGGCCAGAGTATTGCGCCAGGTACAATTCAGAGTAGTGATTAAAGGCTAGAAGTTGTATTGGCAAACGCTTCCCTGGTCACAGAACAACTTGTGTTTAAGCTTTGCTTATCCAGCAAAATACAAAATACTGCAGATGCTGGAAATCTGAAACAAAAGCAGAAGTCACTGGGAACACTCAGCAGGTCAGGCAGCATCTATGGAGAGAGGAAAATGAGTCAACATTTCGGATCCACGACCCTTTGTCAGAACTGCTCTGGCGAAGGGTCGTGGATCTGAAAAGTTGACTCACTTCCGTTCCCCATAGATGCTGCCTGACCTGCGGAGTGTTCCCAGCGACTTCTGCTTTTGTTGCTTATCCGGCATTGGTTATGTGCCAACTCTTCTGGTTTAATTTTTCCTCCCTCCAGGAAGTCCATGCTTCCGCTAGCCTGATGATTTGGGAACTTGAAAGGAACAAATCTTGGCCTTTAAGTTTATCCGTGGAATTGTTTTTCTTTGGCAGGAGACCAGGCTCCTTGGCATTCATTTCGTTTTCCTTTTACCCCTTGCTCTTCCCCCCCACCATGCCTATCTACATACCTTGACACTCTTCACACAGAAATAAAGCAGAGATTGTGCCCTGCTGGGTGCAGATCACAACTGTGTAATGTGCTACTGTGCCATCAATTGTTCCAGCGTTCAGTGCCATAAACTATCTGAGTGACTTGTAGGGCTCGATAGCCCACAGATTAGACAGGACTAAGTCAACCGATCTCAACAGGGGCGCAGTTGGGACATTACAGTTGACTTTGGTGACCCTGGGACCACGGCTTATGCTCCTGATGATTATTTTCTAATTACGGTTCAATAATTCATGACTTGAATGAATAGGAGTCATCTCAGTAACCAACAATCTAACTAGTACATTATAAAGGAAAGTTAACCTCTTCACCAGTGTTGATGACCACAGAACTTTAACCTACCTCAACAGTGAGCATCACAAATTGGTGACTTAGAGGTCAATGTGTTAAATCTTCCATCTTGCTCATAATGAGAATGAAATCTAGTTGCGTTTTCCAGGTTGATATTTGAATACTTTGCTATGCATCATCTCAAAATATACAAAGTAGTTTTGCTATGTAGTTTGTAACTATGAATTTCTCTGCAGTCAAATTCCCACAGGTAACTTTATAACGCCCTATTCAGCGTTGTGGTTGTGCTATCCCAATGTCCGTTTTTATAATCTTTATTGTTTGGCAAGCTGAAATGGAACTTGTTTCAAGTCTCATTGTTTTATACAAGGAAATCCTCTATTTCTTGCAATTGTGCCCCTCGCCTCCCCCATAATAATTCAGCAGTGTAAATTCTGCTTAAAGAAAGTGATTTATAGATGTGCAGAATGTGTGTTATGGATCAATGTTCCATTTAAAAATTTCAATGAAGTTGACTAACTAGAAGCAATTTGGGCAGAAGTGAATTATGTTAATATGAGTGGTTTACATAAGTTTTTCTTTTCTCTCTCTACCCCTCACTCTTTCACTCCACTGAAATACATGAGTGCTGGGTGAATTGCAAGTAGCTGTTTTCTTGTTCCACATTCCTTTTATGAGAATTTGTGGGTGGGCAGAAATCATTTTGGAGGAGCTTACCCAGCAAACAATGTAGTTCTAGTGGATCTGGTGAGAAGAAAACGGTATTCTGCTTTTAATGGCAGTGGAAAGTTGTACAGCAGGTTTACAGTCTTTCATCCATAACCCTTTCTGAGGGTTGAATGACAAGACTTTACAATAAAACCAGTCCAGACCTGCAGCTGGCAGGTGTGAAGACTAGATGAGAGAGCACTGACTGAGCAGATGGTTCACAAATGTAAAGTAACTATAATTTACAAATGTTGCAGCTTTAACGTTTTTTAAAAAGCCTACAGCTCATGACTGGCAGCTGTTTTGGAGGACATGGCTTTTCCAGGAGGAAGCGTCTAATATGGTTTTAGATGCCAATTTTGTAATGCAACTAGTAGCAACCGTAAAAGGTATGCACTGATCACTTATTATTATAATAATCCTTGCATTTGATATAGCTCCTATTCCCGTCTTCGAGACGTCTCAAAGCACTTCACGGAATATACTGTAAAGTGAGTTGACTATTTTGTGGGCAAAAGGGGAAAGGATGTAAACTACAGTCGAAAATTGCAGGATGGGATTATGAATTGGAACAAAATACTGGAGTTGGGGAATTTAATGTTGTTGAGGCAAGATGGCACTTTTACTGTTTTTATTTTTTTTATTTCCTCAGTTCCCCCCATCACCACCACACACACACATTCTAATCATCTGACCTGACGTTTATTGGAAGGATAGAGTTTCAAAAACACCAAAGTAAATTTTTGGCTTGTGTACGTGAAGTGTAACGATGGTTATAAATTGGTATCTGCTTGTAATAATCCAGTACAGGTTACCAGAAGTTCCAAGACATTAGCTGAGAGCCAGCTGAGTCTAGCTTGATTAAGATTGTTGGCTAAGTGAAGGGATGATCAGTGGGTGACCGCCTTAATAAATATAATAGTGCACTAATAGTGCACTAACCTCTATAGAAATAAGAAATACCGTACTATATATTTTATAAAAATGAGGTGGCTGCCACAAACCGTAAAAGGGTATCGCTAATAAATGTTTAACTACTCTCTGTTGAAACTCACCATATAATCAATTGATTGCACAAAAAGTTAATTGTTGATTATTTATGACACTTTTTCTGTAAATCTAACATGCTACGTGCGGATTCACTGAACCCATTTTTCATGTTTTTTTTTCCTTCACAGGTTCTGCGTGAAACGTTTCCTAAACATACATTTTTAATGAATGGTCTTATTCAAGGAGTAAAGGTAAGTTGGTTTTGTAGAAATAAGCCGCGTAACTACTGTAGTTCTGATTGGTCCAGCAATCTGGTTTAAAGATAACTATTTGTGATATTGCATATAATGTGGGTCTCATTTTCAAAACTTCTCTCATCAAGGGTGAGTTCTGAATTTCTTTTCATTTTTTATATTAAGGCAATTGACAGATTGAGCAATAAATCTGCAGAGGTGAACTTCAGAGCTCAAACTGGACACCACCTCTATTGCTATATAAAATAGTGTTTTAACCAGAGGCTAGGTGGATTGGGGTTATATTTCTTAGAGCAGGGTGACATGATTGAGGTATTTAAAATAATGAGAGAAATTGGAAGGCTCTTCCCTTTAGTAGAGGGATCCACAAGGGGACACGGCTTTAAAGTCAGAACCCAGACAGCTAAAATTGAGGTCAGGAAGCATTTCTTCACATAGAGAGTTGAAGATGCGGAATGCTCTGTCCCAGAAAATTGTAGAGATAGAATCAATGGAGCTATTTATAGAGAGCGACATACTGGGGTAGTAGAGAAATGAAGGTGAATGGAGGATTAAAAGATCTGATGAGATCTAATAAACTAGTAGAACAGGCTCAATGAGTTGAATGGTCACGTCTGTTCCTTATGTTCCTAACTGTTACGATGAGAGGTTTTGATCCTTGCAAAAAAAAATGAACTGAGTACTTTGCATTTCGATCCTTTATTTAGAGAGTTTAAGCAACGAGTGGTGTAAACTTTTCTCTCGTGTTTTATTATGGAAATAATGGAAATTATGGAAATAATAAAACATTTTTATATTTATAGTGGTAAACTTATGGAACAGATTCCCTGGGGAGATAGTGTAAGCACAAAATGTTGTTTGTTTCAAGAACAAATTAATAGATTTCTGCTAGAAAATAATATCTCGGCATACAGTATATAGTTTGGGACACAAGATGTCAAGCGACTACCAGGATGGTGGAAGGCGAACTAGGTGGACCTTGGTCTTCTTTTGCCTAACAAATTCTTATGTTGTTCTTATTATGGGCTGATCAATTTTGAAGACATTTGTTTGTCCTGGGCTACAGTTCTGTTGATGACTGCTGCCCTCCTGTAACTTGCTTAAGTATCCATTCTTCATATTGGAGGCCAGATTGCCAGAAGACTGCTGAGGTTGATCCTGCCCTCAACTGCCCATATTCGCATTTTCTAACAGAGTTCAATGGGGAACAAGGAACTTTGGCTATTTTATTTTACCATACATCTGTAATACCTCTCGTCTCTCCATGTCTAACTTGGAAATCAGCAATAACATGCAACTGTTTTAAGGAAGTAATTTGATGTTCTCAGATGAAATCTGATTTGTGCTTAAAGAGCTGAAAACTCATTCCACCCTTCTCGAATAGTTTTTTTAATGGTTTCAATTCAAATCTCTGTTCATTTTTGTAATATGCAATATGGGCTTCAATTTGTCAGCATTGACTTGACGGTGACGGTAACCATTTGAGAACTCTTTATATCTCATTCTTCCATTAGGATTTGTCCTAATGTATGAACCCATCATAACTTAATCATTGGTGCATGCATACTTAATGATGGCACTAACAGTGAGGTATTTGTACAAATTTAGAATCTTTAGTAATACTTAAATATTAAAGAATTGAAGCGTAGCATAATGGTAGATGACTTTTGAACTGAGGAACAACAGATTGGTTCGTTGAGGCAGTGCAAATTGCTCCATTATTTCAATTCCATTTTAAGATCTTGATGGTACTTTTTTTAATGTGGAGCATAGAATTATGGAAAAGATTTAACTCTTCAAACATTGTTTTAAATATTCTGGTGTTCACTTAAATAATTAGCTGTAATGAAGCTTTTATTTAACTGTTAATTCTTTCAGTAACAATGTTGACCTTGTGTCCCTCTTCCTTTTTTGGGGGTGGGGGGGTACGTGTTTTTTTTAACTATTTTCTGTGTGGTGGCAGTATGCATCTTGTTGAGTGGTGAGTACCTGGAAAAAAAAGCGAAAACAAATGGTTTTCCTCTCAATCGGCTTCAGATTTCCATTTATGCATGGAACTGACTAGCTGAATGGACAGATGGTGCAAAGATAGTTACTTGCCTCATGGCAGATGAGTAGTTGCATGAGAGTACCACCTTTTGCCATCTTTCAATCCCCGTGCCTCTTGTTGGGATACAGTTACATGGCTGCCACCCATCAGTACATCACTTTGTAACTCCAGAAGGTGAATGTTGGCAACTACTGGACCAGGAAGAGCATTGAAGCACATCCTGTTCTTGCCCGATAATGCAATCCCTCTAGCAGTACGAGTTAGTGATCAAATGTAGAGATTCAGGCTGATCATTTTTTTTCTCTTTCTAACACAAACCAATGGAAGTACTCCTGGCTACAACAGCTGGCTCAGATTGGGAATTGTTCCAACTTAACTGAAATCATTCAAGTCAATTTAGAACTACAGTTCAAACCAATTTAAGTCGACTTGTCAGAACTAAAATTTTGAATAGGCCACCTTCAGTCATGCTGATCCATAGTTGGATCTATCAATATGAGTGCGTTCTCATGGCTAAGAGATTGTCAGGTAATTTTAATTTGCATACATTCTAGTAACACTATTCTTTATTGTGATACTCTTGAAATCCTATCAAGTGCTTTTTACATGAAATGTTACACAGGGTAAAAGGTAAACATCCAAGATTTACACACAATAGGACACGGGTTTTATAAGGAATCCTTTGCTACCTATTGGTTCTTTTTGTAAGGCAACATTTTATTTCTATATTACAGCTTTTACAGTAGTATTCTGCATCTTAAACTCCTTTTTATAGTGGCAGTATGTGAACTATTCTGACAGATTTTGTGTCCTTCAGATTTTGAGTGAGCATCGAGTGAATTTCTGCCTTCTGTATATTGTGAGATTGAGGCTTAATATGCCCTGACACTGCAGTGGGTTGGTGCTGAAAATGTTCAGTATTTTCTATTGAGTTACTTTACACACAATCCTGTGGAATAACTGAACAATAAAATCTTTGTCTGTGCATATTTAACTGGTGGTAACATTCAACAAGCAGTAACTAGTGTTTCCAATAAACATGGCTTATTCAGCGCATTGGGACATCCTCCCGACGTGAAAGCCGCTATACAAAGGTAATTTGTTGTTGTATTGGACATCCTATTGCAGTTTTGAATTCTAAACGCCAGTTTTCATTGGTGTCTTATCCTGTCTGTCTTACCTTTATAGGATTTTACCCAAACCCCTTTAATGCCTCAGAAGTCGTAGGTATTCTCAACTGTAAATGATGGGACTTCGATAGTAATGAGCCAAAAGATACAAATGACACTGCTAGTGGTATAATTATAGTTGGCTCTTAGACATATTGGTTGTCAATTTTCTGGGAGATATTTTAATCCTGTAACTGGGTATGAACTGCAGGATTGATTGTTTTTTTTAAGTGAACCGAAAGGTGTCCTTAACTTGCTTCAATCGAAATGATCAGTTTCGATAACTGTGGCTACAGTACTGCAGGCACACAAGTGAGACGTCTCCCCTAACATCTGGCCAGCTCCCAACTTGACATATATATGTAAGCGTGCTTTAGTTAGATACTGACATCATTTTCAGCTTTGTCAGCCAAATAAGGGAGGAAGTGTGTGTAATTTAGCTGTAGTATTCTTCCACAGATAGTTGGTCACCATGCTGTATGGTAATTTACCCGTGCAGCACTTTTGAGACATTGACATTATACATTAGAATACAATCAGAATATACAGCACAAAAACATTTGGCCCAACTGGTCTACCCTGGTGTTTATGCACCACATGAGCCTCCTCCTGTACTTCCTCAACTAAGCCTTCAAGCATAACCTTCTATTCCTTTCTCCCTCATGTACCTATCTAGCTTTCCCTTAAATATATCTATGCTATTTGCTCAACAACTCCTTGTGGTAGCATGTTCTACATTCCCTCTACTCTCTGTGTGAAAACATTTCTTCTAACTTCCCTATTTGATCTATTTGTGACTATTTTATATTGATGGCACCTGGTTTTGGTCTCCCCCACAAGTGGAAACACCTTCCCTATGTCTACCCTATCAAAACCTTTCATCTTTTTAAAGACCTCTATCAGGTCACCCCTTACCCTCTTCTCATGAGAAAAGAGTCCAAGCATGCTCAGCCTTTCCTGATAGGTATAACCTCTCAGTTCTGGGATCATCCTTGTAAATCTCTTTGCACCCTCTCCAGAGCCTCTACATCCCTTCTATAATGTGGGGACCAAAACTGCACACTAAGTGTGGTCTAACCAAGGTTCTATAGTCGCATTATAGTCTCCATGATATTATATTAAATCAGCTCATTATCCAAGAGGACAAAATCCCCACTGTTTAACTGTTAGTGCTACCACTGAGTGGTCCTGACAGTGTGGCTAACAACTGGAGCCCTGGGGGGATTGGGAGGAGGCCGTGGGAAACTCAGGCATGAGTTTGTGTCCTGGGTGTGTTAGTGTGCCAATGAGCTGAATGTTCTTTTTCTTCTCCTCTACCTTCAAGTTACTTTTACTACTTTTCAACATGATATAATTGTAACAAAATACAAGGTAGAGGGCCTAATCGAACCTGCACACCCTTTATATGGAATGACTGACCTTAGCTCACTTGAAGATTATTTAGTTTGTCTAATTGTGAGCCATTTCATAGCTTTCGTAATGGGTTGTGGCAATCCTTTACCAATGTGCTAATGTTGATGGGAAGGTCAGTGTAAATACAAGAACATTGGTTCCTTTCAAAAGATTTATTTCACAGAAGCTTGACAGTGAAAATGCTTACCTGAAGAACTGTAGGTTATCTGGTTAAACCGAGCCAAGAAGAGCCATTGGCATTGTGTTCAAACGGAAAGCTGCAAATATCTAAGAAGGAATCATACTCCAGTAATTGGAGCTGTTTTTTTGGGGTCAGCTGGAAAGGTGTCTGTAAGAGCATCAAAACCAGTTAAAGTACAACTACA